ACACACACACACACAGAGAGAGAGAGAGAGAGAGAGAGAGAGAGAAAGAGAGAGAGAGAGAGTTTGGAGAGGTCTGTTTGAAGCTTCTTTGCAAGTATTTTTATTATTATTTCTCTTTAACACATCAAATCATTTGAGGGCACCAGCCGCCTGGACCGGGTGCAGTGAAGGCCAAGGCTCCCCCCCCCGCCTGCCACAAACATGTCCACAAAGGGAGGAGGGGGGAAAAGGCACATGTGGGGTATAAAACGGCCCTGGCCAATGCCTAAGTACAGGGGCATACAAAATTAAACAACATCATGAGTCATATCACTCCAATGGGAAAGGCAGTGCACAGCAGATGCTGCTGAGGATGATGGGCAGGGTCAAGGCCCTTGAGTCCCCTTCTCCTCCTGGGTGATTTTGCCCATTTTTGTGGTGTGTCAAACACAGCAGACTTATTACCCACATTATATTTACAAGGATTTTCCTAATCTAGTAGGGAAAATGGAGTCTCTGTGGGAAGGTTTGGCAATCCTGGCCTGGCAGCCACCTGACTGCCTTGGGGAGGCTTCCACGGACCCCCTCTCCTTTAGCCAGGCAGGACTGGCCAGCCAGGATCCATGCAAGGGGGTGTTAAAATAGCTTTCTTCTAGAGATCCTGCAGTCTTTCTTGTACAAGATGGGCCCAGAGGAGGAGAGCAGGGAATCCAAAATGCTGCAGCACAACTGCTGTCAGGTGGATTCTGGGAGTTGTGGTCCACAAAAATACTTTCCCCAAGCTAGGAGCAGCCACAGCAATGATCTGGGCAAAGAGGACCACCCGGATCTCCGAGGAGGGTGATGGCAAAACCTGCGCAGGGTGCAGTACCTACCTCTTTGCCAGGGGCCAAGGTGGCGTCCGGGAGATCGGCAGCTCTCCCTGGGCCTTCTGTCTCCCTCCAGGTGGCTCAGGAAGGGCCCCTTGGCCTGGGAAGGGCCAGTCCACTTTTCCTTGGCATGACCAGGCGGGCACTCGCCTTCCAACAGCCCAGAGCCACAGGCAGAGAGGGTGGCTCAGAGGGGAAAGGCTGGGCCCATCAG